CTTGTAACAAACGTGTGAACGCTAAAGAGCAAATAAGATCTGCAAAGTTGTCTGCAGCAGACACAGTGGGTCTCAAAGAGGCTCTTTTATCTTTATTTTTAGTAAGTAACTAGTTTTGAATTTTAATTCAGGTAGGAAATGGGAGGGAATTTTAATACTGCGACCACAGGGAGGTGTTTCCAATGCAAAGTGAAAAAGCTATTTCTTAGTGAAGGAAGCCTGGTTGTAATACACAAAGGTACTTGTATAAAGCTTGCTAAGTGCACCAGCAGGACCTGCATACAAAAATACCTTCCTGGAGAGATGGTAAGATGATTTCCAGGGCCTGCTATTTGACACTCTGGGATGGAACGTTGACAGGCTACTTGATAAACAGAGACTGTAGAACTGTCTGGCCTCTGGTTAAAAACTGTTCCTCATCTTGGGTTCAGGCATCTCAAGTTAATTATGAAATAGCTTGTTCCCTCTTGCAAACGTCACTTTGCTCTGAGGGAGTCTTGCTGTCACCATATGAAGTATCCATCTTGAGGCAGAGCCGGGCTTAATGCAGATGGCACAGCTGTGACTCCAGGAGCTGAATTTTCTAGCCGACTCCAGCAGCTGAAGCAATGAGGTGAGTAGCTACTGTCATGTGGTGGGCTGGACCGGGAATGAGAGGCTGCACAAGGCAGGAGGGCAGCAGCAGGAGTTGTAAGATCCACTGGGTGCCTTCTGGAGGCAATGGAGGTGTCAGATGTGTGGGCCCACAGGATGAAGAGGAGATCACTTCTCTGTAAGGGCAGCATCAGGAATCCAGGGGAGGGAGCTGTGATGGTGGTGGCTGTGTCCAGGCCTTTGGAGTCCACAGCCGAGGGGAGGTTGTAGAGAAGGAGCCCTACATTGCATGGAAATAGCAGGTAGGCTCTTGGGGAGGCTGGTAGCATAGCACAGAGGGCTTGAGGCTGAGCTTCCCCAAGGATGAAGCCTGCTGCAGGCACAGGCCTTTAAAGACCACATATAATCAGTAGCTATGAGAAGCACAATGTATTGCCCACTGTGCAGGGACTGTGCCTCCTCCAGCAGCCCTCCTCCCACAGCTGCCCTGTGGGCCACTCACCACATTTGTCCATCCTCTGCCTGTTCACCCATCGTGCCTCTTCCCGTTCACTCTACCAAATGGAACCCAAATGTCCATCTTCTCTCCACACCTTCCCTTTGACTGTTGTCATTGTTTTCTCAGTGTTCAGTTTGCCTCTGGCAAGACAGAACAGAGAAGACTGAGCTGGGAGGAACTGAATTATATACCACTGTGTGATTCATAAAGATGACTGTGGAAATATCCAAACCTGACACTGTGCAATTAAAGCTCAGTGTCAACCTGCCATCCCAATTTTTCCTGGAAATCTTGTATCTGGCTACATTCTCTGATGTGTAGGATGTTTTGGGATTTATGGGGTACAGTGTTACCACAAAACAGTCAGAAGATGTTTATTCACAGCATTGGGGGGGCGTGGATGACATCAGAAAATCAGACAAGAATATCTCATTATAGAATAAGAATCAAACAGAAAAAGAAAATAATTAATCATACCCGAAAACAGGGGTCAGGGGTTGGACATAATTCAGGAGGGAGGCAGCGAATGTTTGAAAAAGTAAAAATAAAAAATCAGTAGGGCCCTGGATAAAAGAAATGGACCAAGTTCAGTGCATTACTCAAGGCAGAATAATTGGAAATTTAACATTGCTCAGAGAGGGTCAAGTGGTGGCAAATCTCAAGAATACTCTTTTAAAGTGTATTCTAGGGAAAAGGCAAGGTTGGCAACAGAGGAATTGGTAGCTGGAAATAGAGAGGAGACCTCAGCTGAGAGGGCTAAGGGGCTGAATGAAGTTGTCTCAAAGGCTTTAACATCAGAGGATTTGAAGTAACAGAATAAAACAACCAGGAGGCTGCACTGAGCAGAGGAGGGAGATTGCTTCTCAGGGTGTGCTTGCTAAATCTCTGAGGCTCAAGGAATCAGGCTGGCTATTCCTAACATTTTAAGACTTCACTAAAATTAACCTCCCAGTCATTTTTGATGGGAACCCCTTGCCGTGCTGGTTTGCTCTCATTCTCCTTTCCTCAAAGGCCACCTGCAAACAGGGCAGGCCAGGCAAGCTTAGGAGAATTCATCACTGGGAACAGCGCTTACCTTTTCAAGGGGAATGGTTATCATATGGGTTTGGAGAGAGTAGGAAATGTCTCTGGCTGAAGACTTGATCCCAACTGGAAAAGCACAACTGCTTTAGGCAATGTATGAAGTGTTTCGCATGTGCCTTATTCCTGTGCACCCCAAATTAACTCACAAAGCACTGTTGTTCCCTTCTTGAGGATGCACTGAGGTTCCCCTGGAATCTGGCTTACCCCTTGTCTTGTCCTTGTGCTTAACTTCCTGCTTCTGAATGTGCTGTGCTAAAGGAAACTGATTCTTTTCCAGGACTACAGGATTACTTAAGTCAGTGTTTCTCCTGCCAGCAAGAGCAGTTTGTTTTATCCCCAAAGAGTGCTTTCAGGACCATGCAACATTTGTGGCCACTCCTGAGCAGTTGATACACACCAGCAAAATCAGATGAAGATTAAATCCAACTCTTCATCAGCCTTCTGGCAAAGCTGAGTCAAAACAAGTGGTGGCAAAAGTTAAAGGTGTTACTTCAGGGATGAATTTGGACCTGCTTGGCTTCAGATTGGAGCTGATGCTGCACGAACTCTGCCCATGCAGCCAGGGTTTGGGGCATTTTCACCAGGCAAATGTCTGTCCCTTACTGCTTCTCCTGGCTGGCAGAGCGAGGGCACTGTGCTCAGCTTCATGCTCCTGGAGATCTGTGGACCCTCCAAGCAGGGATGGCAGCAGGTCTGCAAGTAAGGAGCTGCTGCTTTCTGCTCTGCTGGAGAGGCCACAATTAGCACCCATATGTTCTCAGCTATCAAGACCGTGTCCCTTAGATTATTTATGTAGCCTGGAAAATTCTGTAGGCTTTGCTAATCAACTCCATTGCTGGTAATTACCATGTTACATCATTACTCTCCATCCCTGATCCTTTATTAGCATACTCCAGGAGCCATCTGCCTATCCAAATCATCTGTAGCCTCAGGGGAGCTGTAAGGGATGCGACATCCTCACAGCATAACCTTGCTTGTCACTGGCATAGTGAGGAGGTTGAGAGGGATGGCAGTGGCCTTCCCCTGACAAGTTCAGTGCAGTGAACACGAGCAGTGCTTAGAGGGAGGGGACCTGTGAATAACCATCCTGTCCCATGGCACCCTGTGCCCTCCTCCCTCAGCCCATTCTCTGAACCTACTGGAGCCGCTAAGTCCATCATGGTAGCTCCCTCCTTCTTTTATTTCACATTTCCAGGCAATTTCCCTGGCTTTCAAGAACAAGACTTCCAGGCACAGGTAGAAGTAATGTAGTCCCTTAGTAAAAGGGCTGTTTGGGGTTGGGTTGTTTTTTTGGTTTTGGGGGGGGCGGGGGGGTTGTGGGGTTTTTTGTTTTTTTGGTTGGTTGGTTGGTTTTTGTTGTGGATTTTTTTCTTTTCTTGGAAAAAGGCTCTGTTTTGTTTGGCAGGTTCCTGATATGAAGCATCTGATAATTCCACCAATATTAAATACCATTAGCAATAAATCACTGGAAGGTGGAAGTCAAGGTAAAATCAAAAGGTACTAAAGGAATAGACTAAAAATAGGGTGAGTTGTGAAAGGGCTGGAAGGAGGACACTCCTACAAGTGTTGTGTCCAGCACTGAGCTTACTGAGCCTTTTCTTTAGCGAGTTGGTAAGAAGAGTCGCTGTGCTGCAGGGAACTGCCCAGCAGGAGACAGAGCTGCACATCCAGGGGAGCAGGATGAAGGAACTGATTCACAAAGAGACGTGGAAAACCACCAAGTGAGGTTTACACAGTGCTTTGCTCTATACCTGCAGCAAAACAGAAGGGGCCCAGAAGGTGGCCCTGTGTCTGACAGGTGAAGCACCACTGCCTGAACAGGTTTCAGGTAACTCTTGCAGTGAAAGGTGTATGAGCATAAATTTGTTGCCATCTGAAACAGGTGGCTTTTCAAAAGGAAAAAGCAAGAACAAGGAAGGGGTTAAGAGTTTGCAGTGGATTTTTGTGGGGTGAGTGTCCCTGGGAGGGGTGGCAGGAAGGCCCTTTGCAGGCTGAGCCTCAGGATGGCAGATTGGAGCTCAGCTGCCGCGGGTGTGCCTTGCAGCAGCAGCAGCATTGCACTGCTGGTGCTATTTAAAAAGCAGCAGCAGGCTGGAGACTTGTGCTAAGCAATTCTGCAGAGCCAATGAAGGCACTTTCTATACGCCTGTATGTAAATACATATCTTGAATGTGGGGGGAGCCTCGATATCTGATGGTGTCACAGAATAGCAAGCAGCTGTCTCTGTACAGAAGAGCCACAGGAGACCTCCAATGAGACTGAGTGAGTGCTGATGAGTATTGCCATGCTTCTGAGAAAGAGGAGGATGTTGCAGGCTGTCACCACCAATGACCACACCAAACAAGCCACAACCCATCACAGGCAGGTGTAGTGTTAGAGGCTGAAGCAGAGCCTCAGATAACAACCTTGCAGCTGTACAGTGGGATCTGCAGAAGCCCCATCCTGGCTCTTTCCAATCTGGGGCTGTGCAGCAGTGTGACAGAGTTAAGGGGGGGCCTGCTTTGTGCCTAATGAAAATACGGGAGTGTGCCATTGGTGGGCTTGTTGCATTGGTGCCATGTATAGCATCAGTGCTCTGGGGCTCTTCTCCTTGGGGTAGGCTGAGAGTGAGAGAAGCACTGGCAGATCTTATCTGAGCGTTAGCATCTTTATTAAAACAGGTTCGGCACTCGCTGCACTCAGGGTGGGGAGTGTGAAAAAGTGGGATCCTTACGGTGCTTGGTGGAAACGCTGTGTGTGTGTGTGTGTGTGTGTGTGTGTGCGCAGTTCGTGTTACAGGCGGCTGTGCGAAGGCAGCGGGGGCCTGACAAGATCGGAGAGATTCAGTAATAAAGAGGAACAGCGCGGGTGGGCAGGGCTGGGTCGGGCCGGGCAGCGGGGCGGTGCTCGGCGGGGACCGGGCAAGGCTTAGCGGTGGGGCTCGGCCGTGTCGTGCCGTGCCGGTGGGACCATGCCGTCCTACACCGTCACCGTGGCTACGGGCAGCCAGTGGTTCGCGGGCACCGACGACTATGTGTACCTGAGCCTGGAGGGCACTGCGGGCTGCAGCGAGAGGCACCTCCTGGACAAACCCTTCTACAACGACTTTGAGCGCGGCGCGGTGAGTGCCATCACGGTCCCCGCTCAGCCGGCAGTGCCCGTCCCGCTGCTGCCGGGCTGGGGGTGGGCATTGGGGCAGGCGAGCCGGGGCTCGGAGCTCTCCATCGCAACTTTAAGTGGTAGCTGGGAAACAGCACCAGGCGCAGGGCTGGGCTGGGCTGTCAGCGGAGCTGCTCGGGCTCACCCCGTCGCGTGCACTGTGCTGTGCCCAGGCCGTCCAGCTGCTATCATCTCCTGTATGCCGACCACCCTTTCAGCACGGTGCTCATTTGTTTATTGTCCGACTTCAAAATAATAGACTCTGATATATATATTTTTTTAATGTGTATTTTATTTGTAGCCCTAACTCACAGCTCCCAAGAGACCTAAGGAGATTTAAGGGACTTTAAAAGTTTTTTATAAGCGCCCTTAACTCACTTTGGAGATGGGCTCCACCATCACAGTGCTGCCTTGCCTATGGGTAATTTTACCCATAGGGTGCACAGCCTGAGCCAGCTATCCGGCCTTCCTTGATCGGGCATCTCAGATATGGTTTGCAGATGACAGCATTTTAAATTAGTGTTGATGGTGTGTGCAGATATGGCCCCCAAATATGTGTGGATAAACATCCTGAGAAAAGCAATTTCAGAGGTGTGGGTTCCTCCCTGTTGCTGCTGTTGAAATTACTTTCTTTCATGATTAAGCATTAGTTGCACAGAGATCTCGTCACCCTTGATCTCCCTAAAGGGCATCCACACCTTCTTTGTAGAATCATAGAATGGCTTAAGTTGGAAGGAACCTTGAAGATCATCAAGCTCCAAGCCCCCTCTTCTTATTTTATCTGGTGAATATAAGCAAATCTTAACAACGTTAGTGAGAGTGATGGAAGAAAACCTCAGGGTGTTCTGCATTGCTCAGGTTGAGACTGTGCTCCTAGGAGGACTGGGCCCTCTTTGGCTCCAGATTTCCAGTGCCTGGGCACCCTGCTCCCATCCTCAGGCTGCAAATGGGGGTCCAGAGTGCTGGGCTCTGCTGGATGAGAGCGGGAGGAGCCGGGCTTTGTGCAGCGCAGCAGCCCTGCAGCAGGCAATATGTGCACCTGGAAGCACATATTCCTTAGGAATGCAGCTTCTAGGTGGATCTGAAAGTCTTTACCTGTACGAATAGCTTGACCAGTATTCTATACAAAATGTATTATTAGGTAAGCAAGCTGAGACACGGACAACCTCTTTTTTTCTCTTTTTTGTCAAACTTTTTTCCAGGTGCAAAAATCCGTGACTAATTCTTGACTTTTTCTACTATCCAAATTATTTCCATATGCAGTCCTTCCGTAGTGCGTTCTGTAAGATGGCTGCCTTAGGGATGCTTGATGTGTGTGTTGTGCTGTTGCAGGCAGTGTTTCCTTGGGCAGTGCCGTGCATTCCTCCAGGCACTGTTCAGGTAACACTGTGCCCAGAACACCATAGGTCTCACTGATGCACCGTGCAAAGAAGGAAAGAGAAGAAAAAGTAGTGATATGGAACAAAAAGCAAACCAGCAAATAATACTGAAGCTCACTGTAAGACTTTCAGGTTGGTTGCTTTGTAAAATGTGACAGTTGAAGCCAGTTTTGCCTCTGGCATTTTGATAGCATCCCTATAATTTTCTTTTTCTTCCAGATAATTAATGTGATCACATTTTAAAAATAATAATAATAATAAAATACTTTTTTCACAGATAACCAGAATTCCACAGTACTATTTTATAAGGCTTTGTCACTTCCCAGTTTCTTTACTAAATGTTGGGCTGGTTTCAGTAGTGCCATTATCCTGGGAATGGCTTCATTTGAATTAATGCAAATGGTGAGTTTTCCTAGATATGCTGGATGAGGGTTCCAGCCAGCTCTGAGCAGATCTGCGTGCCAAATATTGATAGAAGGGAAGGGATGTGGGAAAACCAGAAGGAGCTTTCACAATGGCAGTGTACTTTTAGTTTCAGTCTGACTTACTCCAAGCACTGGACATGGGCAATTTAGAAAGCTGGAGCTGCTTTTCTTCACTCACTATCTTTTGAGTAAGTTCCTGTTGGTGCAAAGCAATTTCAATGTGAGTGCACGGTGTCCCTCAGTTCTCTGTCTGCTTCCTGTTACCCTTCCATCTGCTTTTTGCTGAAACGCACTCAGCAGTACTTCCAGAAGGAAAACAGTTGTGTGTGGCTTTGGGCTCTGTGCGTGCAGAACGTGCTGGTTTGTTGCTCCTTTTGCAGCATCAGGCTGGTCAGTAGGAGGTGCTCCTCTGCCGGAAAGAGCTTGGGTTTTGCAGAAGGGTAAATCGCTCAGACGGGATGCTAAGGGACTTTGGACAGTCTTACGGCCTTCATTCACTCTGTTCTCTCCCCCTGAAGCCAATTATTTAAAAACTCCCAGCTTCTATGGTTTACTGCACAGACACTGGGGTGCAGTGTAGTTTAACAGGATGCCTCCTAACATGAATGCAACAAAACCATTGAGCAACAACAAAAAAAAATAACCTGCTTCTTTGAACCTGGCACCGTCTGCACAGCTTGCCACACCTTTACTGCACCTTCACTGCCTCTAATTCTAGATATATTTATGTCAGTTTGTGTAAAGTAAGGTTTTGTAAATTATAGAAACAGTATAAATAGATATGTGTAAATGAGGATTTTGATATATATATTTTTTTTAATGGAAGCTAGCTAAACGTTTGAAGAAGAGAAATTTTAAAATATAGTCAGGCATGTTGGGCAAGATCACAGATTACATCCTACAGTCACTGTCTGCCATAGTGGAGGCTCACAACACTACTGTGGTGATCTCTGGGAAAAGCTAGTCGGTGTTTTCTCAGTCTCCAGAGCTGATCCAAACTTTTGAAACACCGAGGGAATGAATTTACATGTGTACATCATCCTTCTAGCTGTTCTGGGATACTGTGAGTGAGGGGGGTGGGAGGGTTGAAGATTCAGCAGCGTAAACTCTCAAAATGAGTGTATGTATTGGCTCTACTGAGCGAACTACTTCTGTTCTGCTTGGCTATGCAAGGAAAAGTCAGAGACACCATTTTAATATGTCAGTTGAAATCTTAGCTATGTGATTTTCATCTCCCAGCTCCTGTCTGGCAGGCAGATGCTGTCATGCCAGGCTTGCCAAAAACAGCCGTGCTGTTTTTGTGAAGCACAGTTCCCCCATGTGCTACCACCTTGTATGGATAGGTATGCTGTTGACATCAGCATTGCAAATTCTGGTTTAAGACTGGATGAGTCTCCTTTTTGATAGAAACTGTTCAATGGCTTTGGCTTTAGTAGGAAAGTATATAGGAAAGAACAGTGTAGGATAGAATATAGCTCAGGCTGAGATTAGTCTGTTAAGTCTCAGTGAATCAAAGTAAGTGATGCCAAGACTGATTTTAAATATTTGAGTTTAAGTGAAGTTAGGGTGAATGTTAGAAGAAATCCCTCTGTCTTTGTTGATATGAAGTAACCTCATCGGAGATGCATAGCCTGAACAGTTTCAAAGTTAATTGATGAACATCATGGGGAAAGATGGGCGAAGGCAAGGTTTTGTTATCTGCAGCATGGATTTCAAAGTCTTTCTTTGTTTCTTTCCTTCTTCTTTTTTCTCTCACTTGTATGAGTCAATTAGATGAGACATGAAAGGTGGTAGTTTCAGCCTGTCATCACAAGCTCTGGTGGACATAAATGCCTTCATCCTAAAATGATCATCACATGCATAGCTTGTAGAAAGGGCACTTTGTGCTAATAACATAGGAAGCTGGTATTGAAATGGGAAAAAAAGAAATACTCAGGGATCCTTCTTAGCGTATGTGTACTTCTAATCATATAGATGCAAGTTGCTATGTATCTTTCTTTTGTAATTGTTGAGGTTAATAGGTGCCATCAGGAGGCATTTCAAGCTCCGTACTTTTTTCCTTCTACCTCCCCGGAATTTAATCTTGCTTCACTTTTCAGTTTTGGTCCTTATTTGAAATAGCTTTTTTTTTTTTTTTTTTTTTTTTTTTTTCCCTAGCAAATAAGACAGTAACAGTGGGTATATAGCAATTGGCTGGGGAGCGCTCCTGAAGACATCAAGCAGGGTGTGATGTCTGGGCCAGGAGCCTAATGAGGAGACTCACCTGGGCAGGAGGGTCTCGCAGACACTGTAGCATATAGTGGAAGTGAATCTCACCCTCCGGGTATCAGCAGCTACTTAGTGTTTCTACGGTTGTTGTCTGTGCTGAGAAAAACCACAAGAGAATACAGTCTCTTCTTGTAACCATCTTATGCTTAGCAGGATCATCTGAGCAGGCTGTGGCTGCTGCTCTCAGGATTTTTGTGGCAGTTCAGCTTTTACAGTGAGCGCCTGACTGCTCTCCTTTGCCCTGAACTGTTTGCATTGTTAGAAATTGAGAGTCAGTTTCCCTGAGTTGCTTAGCACTGCACTGTGCCTTACTGGCCATGTGCAGAATGATTATTCATTTCTTCCTGTTCTGATATTACCTAGTAGTGCAATTACCACCAGAACTGCAGCTTGCTCAGTGCTGTTCTTGCATGCAGCAGGAGATCACACAGGTCACTGAAAGGTTAGCCCCAGCCTTGTGAGGGGACTGAAGTATCCATCCTTGAGTCAAGAGTTCACCATCCAGTGTGTTAACCTATGATTATCCTTCCGGTGCAGCAGTGTGAATAGGTTTGCTGAATCAATACCTCTTTATGGGCTATTGCAGTAGCAAAAGCTATCATGGGCTGCAGATTTTTCTCAGATTTGCAAACATTTCAAGGGGTGATACCATCTTTGGATTAGATACAAAATATTTCCCCATTTTTGGAGTGCTTTACATGGTCTCATTTATTTCATTTACCTTTCAGTTGTACTGCAATCATATAATTCTCTTCTGACCTTGTCGTTCTCCTTGTACTTGTCCCTCACTGGAAGCAGGAAACTACTTTATGCACCCATGCCATACTGGCTACAAGGAAGGCCAGGTGTGCTTGTACAGTGCTGGCTTTGCTTTCCACAAGTGCAGTGTATCAGTGACTATTTCTGCTCTGTAGGTTGACTCCTATGATGTGACGGTGGAAGAAGACCTTGGAGAAATTCAGCTAATAAAAATTGAGAAACGAAAATATTGGTACCAAGATGACTGGTACCTTAAGCACGTCACTGTCAAAACACCACTGGGCGATTATCTGGAATTCCCATGTTACCGTTGGATTACAGATGAAAAAGAAGTTGTCCTTCGAGATGGAAGAGGTGAGCGCCATAAGAAACATCCTGTGCAGCAGCTAGAATTCTCCCACCTCTCCTTCCTCTTTCCCTGTGTACATCCCAGACTTCCATGACCATATTCAGAATATGGTCAGATAAAGGATAAAAGCAAGTGAAACAATGTTGGTACCGTAAACACAGCCAGCTGGAAACTGTTAGCCATATATATATATATATATAATTGGTTGTATTACCTCCAGTATTTCCAACCCAAAATAGCTATTCCCGTAAAACTCCTGCTAGCTTTATCTGCCTTTCTATTTGCCTATGTAAAGCAAGTCACGTACCTTGTGCTTTCTCTTCATCACTAAGGAGGTCTCTGTTATTTAGCATTATGGTGTGTACGTGGTCAGGAGAGCAAGTTGTCTGGAACTGAAGCCTCACTGTGTTGTTTTTCTGCTCTCGTGGCAGGAAAATGTGCTTATTGCCTCCGGCTGGCAGGGGAGAGTACAGCTCAAGGAGAGAGGATGGGAGATATTTCCTAGTGTTGTAGTTTAACTTACAACATTGTCCAAGGCAATACTATTATTTCTTTGATTGATGAAAATTCTTCTAGATGCTGAAAAATAAAATTAAGTCCCATGACCCTACTGAGGCCATCTAACTCCAAGTGTCTACCTTAGGAACTCAGGTTTTCTATAGAGATGAGATAGTTGCTCTTAGCTTAACCAGTTTTCTCCTTGAGGCACCACATTAGAAGCTGAAGGTACTAAACTGGATTGCGTGAGCTTTTCCCACAGAAATTTTGTAAAGGTTTAGGACAGAAGTTGGAAGGCTTTGAAACACTGGTTTCCTTCTCAAGACCTGGGTGATGATAAAGGAAGCTCATGACCCTGTTTCTTTCTCCCATTCATAGCAAAGCTCCCCCGGGATGACAAGACCCAGATACTCAAGCAGCACAGACGCAAAGAGCTTGAGAATCGTCAAAAAATGTACCGGTGAGTCCCTCACAGCTCCCCAAAAGTCCAGGGCCTGTTGTCCTCAGGTCAGGAGTTGGCAGAGCATGTTCAGATACTCATATTGCTCTAAGTACTGAACTGCTGGTAAAACAAAACTGAAAGTTTGCGTGTTGGCTATATGTGCTTTTTTACTTAGATGGGGTTCGTTGTGAATGATGGTCATCCTGCTGCACGTGGTTGCATTACAAGATACTTGAATCCCAGATAAGCCTGTCTAGAAGATGTAAGGTGAAATTCAGTGGTACAGTCTCTATATGACTCCTCTGGCCTACAGGCATGCTTTCAAGAAAAGATAAAAAATAGATTTTGTTTGTCTTTTACAAGCTGGACTCCAGTTTTGGAGTGTGATATCAACACGTAATCTTATTCTGGAGCTTTGTGGCTGCTGTAATGAGTTTTAGTCACTTCTTGAACCAGGGTGCAGTGGAAGATTTGACCTTGCTTGAGCAGACTGGAATGTACCATCAAAACACAGTGGTGTTATCCATCTCCATAGAGTGATAAACTTTTTCCTAAGTAAGAGAAGGTCACAACAGGAAAACCTTTTATCAGTAGGTAATTCCAGAAGACGTCATACATTTCCTTTTTATAGGAACATACTTTCTGTTAAAAGGAGGAAAGTTTTTCTTGCTTCCCTCTTCTTATCAGGAGAAAGAGGATGAGAATAACAGAGGTTTCATTCAGAACTGACAGATTGAGGTTTGGCGTATGTATTGTTGATATAATTTGACTAAGAAACGATCTTGATCACAAATAATGGCAAACAGCAGAGGAAAATCTAGATAAAAAGATAGGTGGCACAAAATCTTGTTTACATATGCAAAAAGGAAGGCAAAACCATTGTTAATTCCAGGAAAATAGTAATTTACAATTCAAATGTTTAACTTATAGTGCACAATGCAGTCTGTGTGTGGCAGGCAATTTGGAAACACTGCTGAAATTCTCCCCATTACAAATTGCCTTTTTTTCATTTGAGTTAAAAACGAGGTACCGTAGGAGATCATACATAGCAGAGCTTGAGTACCATGGCCATCAGGAGGCAGGCTCAGGAGCTGAGCTCAGGCTGCACGCACCTCTGGTAGCATTGGCTTTTGGAGGAAATGAGACACTTGCCTGACACTTTGAGCTGCTAGTAATTTCACAGTATTTTTTGCAAATGTGGGACAGATGGTTTTCCTGCCCAGTGACTTCTGCAATGCCAATTGGGTAGAGCACACTTACCTTGGGGAGGTAGCTGTCTGAGCATGCCTTTGTACACCAGAGACTTGTGACAGGGTGCAAGTCACTTACAAAACCTGTGTTTCTCTCTCTGTCCATTGCACAAATATGATGAACAAAATGATACCACATTGCTGTTTACTCCAAATCTCAGGCTGTTTGTTTCACCCAGTTATGGCTGTGTTTTAGTTCTGCAGAACTGTAGCCTCAAGAATGAGGTTGATGTGACCAAACAGTGTGCATTGTACATCTGTCTTTCTGCCCGTTTCACTTCCCAGTAAATTTGTAGTTACTGCCAATTCCAACCAATTGTGACAGGCATTCGGAAATATCACAGGTATTAAGATACTTCAAGTTTTGTGATGGTAGTTGGCCAAGTAGATACCTTCTGTTCTACTTCATGTAGCTGTAGGTTACTGGTAGGTTTTATTGTAGTATAAGTCAGTATTTTTGCCCCAAGTGAATCTGATGCAAGCAGCATAGGTAAAAGAATGATGGAGCTCTTGTGCTGGTGAAGTTATACGGTTGATCCAACTTCTCTTTTCTCAGCTGGAAGGAGTGGCATCCTGGCTTTCCATTGAGCATTGATGCCCACTGTCACAGTGAACTGCCCCGTGACATCCAGTTTGACAATGAGAAAGGAATCGACTTCATTCTGAACTACTCCAAAGCGTGAGTGTTTGTGGTGCTTCGGGAATTTGCAAAAAACTTTTTTGTGCAGAATAAGGATGTGACCACATTATAGGTTTCACTGAATCTCAGAATTGGAGTCTTTTCTCTCATCTGCACCTGTGATTAAACAAAGCAGGGAAAAAAAAAAAAAAAAAGGAAAAAATATCTTTGTTTTGTTTTAATTGATGTTTTGAGCTTTTCACTCTTGGAACTTGCTGATCCTCTGCATTCTCATTGGACACTGTTTGGCTGCAGGCAGAATGAGGAAAGACCTCTGAAAAGCGTGGAAAGGAGAGTTATTGACAACTACTGCCTTACGCATCTGGCTGTGTTCAGTGATGCCCACTGAAGATGCTTCTCTCCTCTGGCTATTAGGGAAAATTAGGTCTTTCAATCAGGTACCAAAAAGTGGTGTCAATGCATCTTTGAGACTCTGCTGAAGAAAAGCTATTCCCATCCAATGTAGGTTAAGTTCATCAGTTAACCACATCTGAGAGTAATCTGCTGCAGACATCAAAGTCACTATCACACCTGAACTTGACATGTCACTGAAAAAACAGTCCTAGACACTGGGTGAGCCTGAAAAATCCTGCCCAGCAGGATAGTACAAAATTAATGGGAGAAGAGAAAACCTCTGCACTGTGAGTCTGCTTCTGAGCTGTCTCACAAGCCTGAGCCATGTCATACTTTATCAAATGGTGGGAAAAAAGGAAATGAGGCAAGGCTGCTTTGAGATCATCCACAGTTCCTACATCTGTGACTCTGATTACTCTAAGAGCTGTTTGGACGTGGTGCTCGGAGATATGATTTAGCAGAGGGTTGTTAGAGTTAGGGTACTATGGTTAGGCTGCAGTTGGACTTGATGATCCTTGAGGTCCCTTCCAACCTGAGTAATTCTATGATTCTATGATTCTGATAACATGCTGGTCCCTCCATTTTTTGGAAAGATATTCCTCTCAGTGTTTCAGTGATCAGATGGGGATTATATCATCAAGTATAGGTTGATAAGAGAACTAGCAGGTTTTACAGCCATTCTAAGAAAGCTGCAGCTCCTAATAACAATGAATACTTTCTTATCTGAGTCCATTTAGTGACCTGACATGGCTGAAACCTTACATGGTCATGCTTCCTATAGAAGTTCATCTGATATTCAGCTACTTACTGTCTGTCCAGGAGGTCCTACCCAATACTCCCTCCATCTCCTGATACTCAGGAAAGGCCATTCCGAGCTCCTTGTATAATCCTTCTGTGCTCCGTCAGGGGTGATGAGACCTCCAAAGAGGTTGTCTCCAGGCCCAGGCTAGCTAATTGCTCAAGATGCTTCCTCGAGGCACCTCTTCTTATCTTGACTGCTATCTGCAGCAGCAGAAGCAGCCGTTTTACATGTCTCTTGTCTGATTTTCTGGTTATGCTGATGGGAATCCTCTTTCACAGTGCCACTTGCTGTCTTTGCGGGTTTCTTGTCCTCTTTGACCACTTCTAATACAGTTCATTTTAAGGTCTCTCAGTCTTAGTTTATAATTTACAGCTGCAGTCCTCTGGAATTCCCCCCTTAAATTCTGTTTGGGAGGATTTGCTGTGACACTGTGACATTTCTTTGTTCTGTTAACTGTTCTCCCCATCTTTGTGCAGTGTATGTCTTTGTACATTTGAAGATGCTAGTGGAAGGAAAACCTGATTCTAAATCCACTGACATGTATTCAAAATAAATGTTTTCTATTTAATAACAACAAAGCTACCATTTATGTAACAGTATAAGGCTTTGTTTTTAGGATGGAGAATCTTTATATCAACCGTTTTATGCACATGTTCCAGTCTTCCTGGAGTGACTTTGCAGATTTTGAGAAGATCTTTGTGAGAATCAGTAACACAATCTCTGGTGAGTTTGTCAGCATTTTCTCACATTTTCATCATCAAATGATCGATTTTCTGTCTTGAATATATCTGATTAGGAAGGAAGAGGCTGACCTACACTTCTGCTTGAACATCATTTACCATAAACAGGCAGTAATCTTAGACTGCTGATCATACAACAACCCACAAGACCACAAAGCAAAGTTATGATAGAAACATAGAATGGCTTGGGTTGGAAGGGACCTTAAAGACCCTCCAGTTCCAATTGTCTGCCCATGGCTTGGATGTTTTTGGTTTCACAAGTTGTTGCAATGAGTTGTTTTGACAAAACTTGCAAGCTGTCAGGCTGGTAAGTCTGGGGACATGTTGCAAAGGCACTGAGAATGAGCTGGGAGCTGTAACTTCTTCACCTGGTCCTCATGCAGACAAAGTAGTCCATCTGACCAGAACTGGAGGAACTGTAATTCTTGCTGGGAATGAGTGCAAGTTAGTGCTTAAAAGAGCTCACAGCATCTATCCCAAATGTCATCTCTTTCCAAAAACATGCTGGAATTTATTATATGCACTATAGTAAACATGGTGAAGTGTTTACCATTCGGTGCTCACATCTTACCACGAAAAGATATATATCTGTAAGAGTCTGAGTTTCAGTTTTTTGCTTTGGAGTATTTGGTATCTGGAAAATCCTTTGTACTGATAAAAACTCTACTCATGTAGTATTAAAAGACAAAGACAGAATTCTTATTTCCTCAATCCTTTTCATGTGAAATCTCAGCAGTTATTTGAAAGCCAGGTAAAAGAGTTGCAGATGGAGATGGGGCGATGGAGTCATTTCTGTAAAGTGGGGCTGGGAAGCCTTTGATCTGTGAGCCAGACCTAACCTGCTACTGTGGCCTGCAGTTATATTATTTGATATTATTTTACTGTAGTAATGGATATAATAGATACACAGATGATATTATTCAGTTAGCATGTGGCCCCTAAAGTATGTGTAGATTTACTCATTCTGGCTCTGCAAAGGAACATATTTTTCCTTCCTGCTCTGGAGTTTTGCCCCTCTTTAGGCTGACAAAAGGACCAGTTAACAGAAATAGGAGGCATTTCTATGATTTCAAGTATGAAGCAAAGCACATAAGGAGGCTGGAGCTATTAGAAACTAATTACATCAATTAGTTATATTTAATAAGATTTCTTCCTAAAGCACAAGGATTAGATATAATCTACATTTAATTTCATTGATAATATTTTTATACCCATGAGGAAAGCTCTAATTCTGTGAGTTTTATACTATAAGAATGGATCTCAGCTGTGAGTGCACCTCTCAATCTGATTATTGGCAAGACTTGGCAGAAGCAGGTTCATGTTTTTCAGTCATGCAGCTGCCCTGTCGGCATCAGTGGGGTTTTGTTTTCCTTTAATCACATGTTTTCTGACTTTCAACTTGTAGTTTGAAGTGGCAATAATGATATTAGGAAGCAAAGAACTGCAGTGTGGAAAGCACACAGTACTACTGAAGATGTAATAAGGAGGTGGAGTCCCCAACACTATTGTTTTATTCAGAAGTTATTAATTGGCTTTGTATTAACAATTGAAAAATGAACAGGAAAAAAAAAAAAAAAAAAAAGAAATAAAAAAAAAACAACCAACGAGCAGTGTTAATGAGAAGCCCAAAGTCAACATTCTCCAGGAACCTCTCACTTAGCTCCAGTCACTGCTGTTTTTTCCCTTCCCACCTTGGGTATTTCCCTTCCCCTGCCTGTGCCACTGTTTTGGGGCTTACCTGTCTGTATAACAAACCCCAGGAATTTGGAGACTAAGACTGAAGAATATCATGGAAGACATAAGGAGGTGGTTTGCATTTGGAGAGCATATTTTTCATAGAAGTTGAATGTTTCAGTGCAGTGTAACAAAAGGAATGGGGGAGAAACAGAGAAATCTGAAATACAGTGATATTGATGCTGCCAACTTGTTTTCCTTTAGAATATGTGATGCAGCACTGGAAAGAAGATTTTATGTTTGGCTACCAGTTCCTGAATGGCTGCAATCCTGTGCTGATCCGGCGATGCACAGAGATTCCCAAGAAGTTGCCAGTGACCATGGATATGGTAGAATGCAGCCTGGAGAGGAACTTGACCCTGGAAGAAGAAGTGAAGGTAGGGGTTGGGGTGAAGTTGGATTCCATCTGCTCCTCCTTGTGTTCTCTGACCTCCACTCCCTGTTCTAGCTACATTTCAGCCACATCTCCAAACTCCAGCTGCAGGCCAGGCCCTTTTCCAGGTCCAGTTAAAGGGATACCATTGGAGGTGAAGGGTCCTTCACAGTGCTTTTGTCTCAAAGGATAGGGAGTGTCAGAAGTGGGAAGCATCCTACCCTTTCCCAGAAGGACGGTACCCTCTGTCACCCACAAAGCTGAACTATAATGCTGAAGAAGGACTAGGAAGATGGTACATTCCTTTTGTCTCTACAATGAGCATGGGGTGTGGAATAGTGTGAAACTTGTTTGCACCTCAGTGTCACTGCATGAATGCCAAATAGTCTCTCCCTGCTGAGAGATTTGTTGTCAGGGTCAGCAGACACAAGTCAGGTAGCTTGTGTGGAGGTGCTTGCTGTCCCAATGGCGAACATCACTTCTGGGCTTCCATGAGCAAGGGTGGGCTAGCAGCAATCTGTAACTGCAGGGCATGAACCAGCCCCTTACCAAGACTCCCCAGTCTTAGTTCTGAGCCTCACTGCTTCTGCCTTTCTGCTTTTCTTTCTTAACCTCTCAGAATTGCTGTCTTCTTCCTCACTTATCTGCCTTTTAGCTGCTGCCTTGCTCTTTTTCCGTCCTTCCCACCACAAACACTATTTGCTGTGTTCTTTCATCTTTCCCTCTGTCTGTTAAAACACACCAAACCCTTTTCACTTTTTTTCCAGCAAGGGAACATTTTCATTGTGGACTATGAACTGCTGGATGGCGTGGATGCCAATAAGACAGACCCATGCACGATACAGTACTTGGCTGCACCCATCTGTTTGCTGTACAAGAATCTGGAGAATAAAATAGTACCCATTGCAATCCAGGTGAGCTTGCTATCAGAGTGTTTAAAGGGGCACATTGCTTATTGTCTCCTCGTAAACACACATGAATTTGGGGATTGTACTGTTTTCATCTCTTTCAGCTTGGTCAAAAGCCTGGGCCAGAAAATCCCATTTTCCTTCCTTCAGATGCTACCTATGACTGGTTGCTGGCCAAAATTTGGGTTCGCTCATCTGATTTCCACATCCACCAGACAGTGACCCATCTCTTAAGGACACACCTTGTCTCAGAGGTGTTCAGCATTGCCATGTTCCGGCAGCTGCCTGCTGTACATCCCCTCTTCAAGGTTGGTCTTTCCGTGAAGGGGTTCTGGGGAAGTCAGGGGGGTTTTCTTTTTGGCTTGACAAACCAAAAGTACATCCTGGTGGTAGCTCAGTTGGAATGGTTTGACCAGCTGTCTGGCAAGGCAGTGTAGAGCTAGCTCTCATCAAGGACTTGAAACTCTACACATGGTTGAATTCAATCAATGAATTTGTGCTCTGCTATTTTGTCATATTTCGCAGCTGTTGGTGCCACACATGCGATTCACAATAGCCATCAACACCAAAGCTCGAGAACAGCTCATTTGTGAATGTGGCCTTTTTGACAAGGTAAGTAATCCCCTTTGCAAATCTTTGTTATTTTTCATGGGGCCCTATGTGTTTTAATTCTTTATTTGTCACATACTGTGTTATTTCTTGACTTTCTGCTAAAGCACAAACATAAACAGCATCGTCTGAGACACAGACTTCAGTTAATTCACTTCCTGTTGTGCTAACGATGGTATCTTTCACCTCTAAGTAACCAGTTCAGAATGTTTGTATGATATCCAAACATCTAAACCCGACTGTAATAGTGTTTACTGTGATAACAGCTCTTCATCTCCTTGCTACCCCAGAAACAGCATGCCACATCTAGGAACCACAACAGGTTGGCAAGCTGCCCTTTCTGTGGAAATGTGCTAGCTGCAACTAAGACATGTTCCTCATATACCTCTGGCACCAGGAAAAAAAAAACAAAAAACTTCCATGCTCCAAAGTTTTTCTGCCTTCATAGAAAAGAGAAGTTAATTGCAGATTCTTTCCTTGTCGTCTCTGCTCCTCTGCTAACTGTGGAGGCTTGGAGATGTTCCTGTCGACTGAGTCGAAGGACAGCATCTGTACCCCATGCATGTGGGATGAGTGTGTTGCTAAGACCTGCTAATGAGGATCATGCAGTTCCAGAATTGTTGGTTTCAGTGTAAATGTACAGCCAGACAGGAGAGAGTAAGTGTAAGCTGCATACTGCTACAGTGCAAGCACCACGAAGCAAAATTTGGGAGCTTCTGAGCAGTGATTATCTAAAGGATTTTGCAGTGTTGTTTGTAGTGAACATGCTGTGTTTTCCCACTCAAACATCCAGCAGGACTGTTGTCCTGGCTTAAATCCCAGGGTGCCTAAGAGTAGCCTCCAATCCTAACCACCACCTATTATCAATCCTAAACCACTCCACAGCAGCACTTGGTGGTTTAGCAAGAGCTCTGGTCTGACAGACTCCTGGCTGCCCTCCTTCACACATGCACTCATTCTGGAGCATGGAGCTGGCAGAAAGTGCTCTGCATTCAGTAATTCTATTACTTTATTACTGTGTTCCATTATATTATTTCAAGGTGATACATAAGATGTGCCCATGGAGATCTGGATCTGTTATCTGTGGTCCATGGAAAAGGTGTGAAAACTCTGAGGTCAAAATGCAGAACTGCAGTAGACCTCTGCAGTTTAACACTTATTTGTGTGGAGATGTGCTTTTTTCTCCTGGTAATAACACATCTCCTGGGAATTTGGACAGCCAGTCTTGGCACAGTGAGCCTAATTTATCTCCCACTGCTCATATCTTGCTGTTGTTCCCGCAGGCAAATGCTACAGGTGGAGGAGGACACGTGCAAATGGTTCAGAAAGCAATGAAGGATCTGACTTACAGCTCACTCTGCTTCCCTGAAGATATCAAAGCTAAGGGGATGGACAGCAAAGAGGATATCCCCTACTACTATTACAGAGATGATGGCATTAGAGTTTGGGAGGCAATAAAGAGGTAAGAGGCTGTAGTTCTGGAAAGGGCCAAAGAAGTCTTTGTCCCAGAGACACCACTCAGTTTTGTCTCTGCTCTACGTCACATTCTTGTGAATACAGCTTGGGCTGTTTGATCACATGGCGTATTTTTGTGATAGGAGGGGATCAGTCATACTGTTCGGTGCCTGGTGCTCCCCTCTAGTGTATGTGGTTTGTGTGTTTCCTCTAATGTGTCTGCTGCTAACGGAACTTGTTTATGATCCTTCTTCTCTCTCTTGTCAGCAATGAGGCTGAATCATGAATTGGACAGCATGTTTTCAGAATGACTGGGGCCAATGGTACAGGAGCTGGAGTTGTCCAAGAGTTAGCATTGTTTAGGTGTAGAGGAGAGAAGGCAGAGGTGGGAGTTTTGAGAAAGATAAAATGTTTCATCAGAAAGAAAGAATTTTTCCCTTTATCTGTAGACACAGTCTCTTTAGCCTTCAAGAAATCGAAGGCTAAAATTACAATAAAAAAGATGTTGGGTAGCCTTTAGTCAAATTACCATTTGATAGATAGAACAGATCATTTTGAGAGCCTGTGGAGTCCCCAGGGGTGGGGGCTTCCAGTACCATTTAAAAGAAATAATTTCCTCAAGTGTTATAGATTGAAATGATCCTGACCTAGCATAGAGAATAAATGCCATCACATGAGTGAAGGAGAGTGTTGTGAACCCATCTGGAAGAACAGTTACTAACTTTCAGCTCCTGCTCGGTTTCCTGTTCAGAGATGTTTGATTCCTGCCCTTTCCAGGCCTATATTCTTTCATTCTACATTTCAGAAGCCCCTGGATAAGTATGTATTCATCTGTAGGATTTCACAGTAATTGTCCCTGTTCAATGCAGGAGAGTTGATCCAAACCTTTAATGGGCCCTTTCAACTCAAACGATTCTATGAATTTAGCCCTGCAAAGGGAATTTAATTAGCTTTTTAAGCTATGCACAAACCGAGAGAGAACACAGCAGCCTGAGCCACCCACGTGAGCTCACTGGGGGTCTTGTGGAAGCAGAAATGTTAAATGTGGCTCACACGAGAGAGCTGTGTTTTGAAGCCCAGTAAACTGAAGCACTTATTTGAACTAAACCTTTCTTAAAGTGCCTTAAAATTGAAAGGACCAGATTTTGCCAAGAAGGGCAGCAAATTTGTGTCTGGAGAGGTCTTGCAAGACTGAAACATACGTCCTTTTCAGAATATAGGGTATTTATAACACAAGACTAATGTTTAGAATGTTGTTTATGTCTTTGTCTCCTATGATTTTGGTGCAGGGAATATCTTTCCATATTTCCTACAATTGTTAGTGTCCATTTGAGAGAAAAGGAAATTTTTACTTCTCTGTGGTTGCTTGACATATTTTCCCTGCCTGTGTGTGCTTGTTCCTGCCCTTCTTTTCTTTCCTGTGCTTTCTTGTGCTAATTGAGATAGGATATCTTTTCAAATACCAGATAGTAAAGTCAATTGAGTTTGACTGTTTGTCAGTGTTAGCTGGAGGAGGATATTACACGGCTTCAGACTTGGCTGAGAGATTCATTGTAAGTACTTGGTTTATAAATAGTGTGAGCAGTGACCTTCCGAGCACTGGGTGTCCTCACACCTGAGCCCACTCACATGTGTGTAACCACAGCCTACTTTTCTCTGAAGGAGTGTCAGTAGCTGCTCTTTGGTGAAATGACTTCTATCCCCAGCCTGTCCTTTTAGCTCCCTTCCAACTTGGGATATTCTATGTTTCTATGACTGTGGTCCAACGTACTTCTGATGGTGGAGCAGTGATACTGCAGTTAGAAATAATTGCATTCCCACCGCTTGTGGGAGGGTGTTGAGCCTTGATCTTGCCCCCCACTCTTCCTCACGAGGTGTATTCTCTCTGTAAGCTCAGCAGAAGGTCTTCAGTAAGATTTCTTTTTACTTTTTGTTTTCTTTTTTTCATTTGTTCCTCTGTCTGCAGTTTTGCAGAGGATGTGATTCAAATCTACTACGAGAGTGATGAGGTGGTGTGTGAAGATGTGGAACTCCAGGCCTTTGTCAAAGATATTTACATGTATGGGATGAGGGGCGTGAAGGCCTCAGGTAAGGTATGATGGCCTGGCCAGCTCTGCAGCTTCCCAAGTCTCTAGAGATGGCAAGGCTGCGTGCACTGCACGTCTTGAACTGTTGGTGACCTCCTCCCTTCTTGGCCCAGAGACTCAGTTTTATGGACTGCCCATATGGGCTGAAAACCTGCCCAGCCTGCGTCACTTCTCTGCACTGCTGTCACCACAAGGGCTGGGACAGAGCAAGTAGGACGACCTGCATCTGTAAAGAATAGGAAGGGCATAAGTGGGGGACAGCTGGCCTTCCCCTGCTGTCTCCACTCCTGCCGTGGGAGCACTGCTCTGACCAGGAGCATGCTGAGTTTCTTTACAAGATGAGCACAGTGTGTTGAGGACAGGAGGGTGCAGGAATGGGTGTGTATCCTCTCCTCTTTGGGCTTGGTGCTTGACCAGAGCTACCATGTCTTCTTGCCCCTGCCAGGTTGAGTTTGCATCTGCAGCAGATTCATGGTGCAGACATGGCAGCGGCTGGCACAGAGGCTGCTCACCCCAAGGTGCTGTCAGATCTCTAGTTATCATGGGACCTGTCATCATGCTGGGCTGGGACAGGGACAGGGAGTGGAAAGCAGGACTGTAATGTTGGTGCAGGAAAGATGCAGGCTCAAATGTGCTTTGGTGATAAAATATTTCCCCTGTCCCTGACTATTCTTTCTTTAAATAGCTCTGTGTGATTACTCCCCCTCAAAGACTGCTGGATTCAACTATTTCTGTTCCTCATTCTGTTGTTTTTGGTTCAGAAGTTCTCATTTCCTCACTTATTGTCTCAGCAAATAAGCTCTCCCCGCACTTGTTCTCACAGCGCACTTGATTGCTGAGCCTCAGACATTTATAAATACAAGCAGACAGCCATTTGCTCTTTGATGTGAACTTTCCCTGCTTGCATTGCGGAAGAAAAAGGGACTCTCTGGGTTCCTTGCCGCAGGTTAGGTGTGAGGACAGACATGCCATATATTTTAAAGGTGTAATTATGCTTTGCCTTTCTCCTAAGGAATGCCACTTGCTTTGCAGACAATGATGATGCCTTATGAATCTGTATGAGGTAAAAACAGGATCACTCTGCTTTTATGGCTGAACAGCCAAGACACAGAGCTTGATTAACTGCTGTTAGAGCACATGGCAGAACTAGTAATAGAGTCAGAAGGAAAATGTCCTGCTCTTCGGTGACTGTTGCATGGTCCTCCAATTCACACCTTCAACCAATGACTACTGGATAACTGTGTTGTTTCATGTTTGTACTTATTCTTTTGTTCTCCCTCATTCAGGGTTTCCTAAGGTGATCAAGACAAGGGAGAAACTAGCAGAATATCTCACAGTGATAATATTCACCGCATCAGCCCAGCACGCAGCTGTGAATTTTGGTCAGGTAGGAAGTTCTGTTCATCCTTTTGGGCTGGGACATGTACCCACCATGGCACAGTCTGAGAAGTGCTGTTTGGTAGATAAGCAGACATTACATTGCTCTTTCTGGCTGAACTAACTGCAGTGTCATCTGCAAATCCCCATGAGGACTATGGAAACACTGATTTTTGAAACATTTGGAATAATTTTGAATACTAGATAGATACAGAAACTCGGGTTTGGGTGTTATACCTTGTATATTTTTGTTTCATTCATTTTATTACGGGGAAAAATTCTGTTTTAAAGCATTTAAATGGGTTTCTAAAACCCACTTTGGTAATGCTGAGGAGATCAGGTGCACAGTCTGGATACCGCAGCCCCATGCCTTCCAGACATCACCTGAACTGCCTGAATACATGCCGGTAGTTTGTGGCTCATTCTGCAACAAAATGCAATGAGTTATGCTAAAAGGCTTTCCTTTGTATTTGCTGAGAATGGGTGCATGGGCGATTACCAAGAACTGCTGTTGTAAGCTGTGCAAATTTGGCAGTGCCAAAGTAGTATATATCCCATCTTCAGATGTGGCTTAGGGAGCATATACATCTCAGCTCGGTGCTGTGACTGCAGCACATGTAGCTGTAATACGCTGTCTGTCTTTGATTTGGCTCAGCTGGGTGTTTCAGCAGTTTAGTGCCAGCAGTACAGCGATCTAGCTGGCCTGCTAGAGCATTTACCAAAGTTGAAAATTGCCTTACACATGCCTGTGGGAGTTGTACTTCTGCTTTCTGAGGCGGCATAGATAAGCTGCTACAAGGTGAAATTGTATTAAAGCCAGTAGGATGGGCTCCAGATCCTCTGTGGTGTCTAGTAGGTATCCATCAGGCAGGATAGGCAGACATATATATGAAAGTAAGAAAAAACTACTTTGAAAAGAAAGGTTAATGGTAACTGCAGCATCTCAGATGGTGGCAAAACTCAGGATGGTAACTGAGGCAAGATGAGGCATCACCATTCTGCAGCTCTGAAGTATCCCAGAAGTGATTTTGAGTTAGAATTATTTTAATTGGAAGGGACTCTTAGAGACCATCTAGTCCAACTCTCCTGCAATGAACAGGAACACCTACAGCTCAATAAGGTGCTCAGAGCCCCATCCAGCCTGACCTTGTATGTCTCCAGGGACCAGACACCCACTACATCTCTGTGTTCCCAGTCCAGTGCTCACCAGAGCCACATGTACATGGCATATTTGCCATCAGTCACCTCTCCTACCACCTTTACCCAGCAGCCTGGCAAGGAAATACTAGCAGGTGGCCATGGCTTGCACTGATGGGTGCCTGTTGAGGTATCAGAGCCATGCAGGCCTTTGACAATGCCCCAACAAAAAGTGCACGTGCAAGCTTAGAGATCTGGCATAGGGAATTACAACCCCGATAATGGAATGTCACCAAATCTGGTGATTTAAGAATGATGCAATATGACTGGAGAACAGCAAATGTATCCTCCAAACACAATAAAAACTGCAAGCTTTTTTTACTGCAGCACCATGGGCATGTTCTTAGAGCAGGTTTTGCAGAATAGAGCAATTGGAGATAAGGAAAATTTACCCACTTTAGTGGTTTTATCAGAGATAACCTCAAACTTTGAAGAGATCTTTGCTTATTAAAATAGCTAAATTCTTTGCCTGACCAGTGAATCTGTGTCTGTGGTCAGCAGAATAACTGCTCCTATGGAGGTGACTCCACTCTCTCCCCTGTGAGATCCTCCTGGGAAAGACAGTAGGGACTTTCTTACCTCCTGCAGTGCTTCACAAGTGCATCTCTCTGTCCTTTAGTTTCATTAGTATCTCCTCATTCTGAGGAATTCCGATTACAGAAACAGACTCCCCAGTGCCAAATTTCATCATTTCCTTTGAAACATTCCTGAATACCTGTCACTGTAGATTTTCACTGTGCTTTCTTGCCTTGTGCAGTATGACTGGTGTTCCTGGATTCCCAATGCCCCACCAACAATGCGCTGCCCTCCTCCGACAGAAAAGGGGACAGTCACCATCGAGCAGATTGTGGAGAGTCTGCCAGACAGAGGACGTTCTTGTTGGCATCTGGGAGCTGTCTGGGCCTTGAGCCAGTTCCAGGACAATGAAGTAAGTTGACCTTTCTCCAGGAAGTGGGGGATGTAGGGAGATAATGAGAGCTATGGCAGGACCACTCTAACTCATGCGATTGTAGTGCTGTGTTTGATTTGAGCATCCATGGATGAGAAGCAGCAGCCAGGGATGGAGGGTGGGCAGGACACATCTTTCATTGGCAGTGATAGTGTAGGCTAGCTTAAATATTGATTGGGCATAATAGTAGCACTCCTAAAGCTCAGGGTGTTGTTCTGCTGGATGACATAGCATTGAGACAGAACAGTCTTTTTTTTTTTTTTTTTTTTTTAACTCAAAGCATGATTTCTTGCTGTTTTTTTTCAACTAGCTGTTTCTGGGCATGTATCCAGATGAACATTTTGTGGAGAAGCCAGTGAAAGAGGCTATGGCAAAATTCCGCAAGAATCTGGATGAGATCGTCAGTGCCATCACCGAGCGCAACAAGAACAAAAAGCTCCCTTACTACTACCTGTCCCCAGATCGCATTCCCAACAGTGTTGCTGTTTGAGCAACAGGGAGAGCTCAGCGGAGCATAAAACCAGTGAATGCTTCCTGTTACATATGGTTCTCAATACAGGCCTTTAAGAAATTTGTAAAATAACAAACACGCTCTCTCCATCAGAGCTGACCCTTACTCTATTTTGGCTTTCAAAGCACATTTAACTATGACAAATCTTGCACACAGTTTAGCTGGCGACTACTTAGGTCAAATTTGTTACAAGCTTATATCACCAAGATTTTTGTATTAATCTTAGAATCAATACCTGCATTAGTGTTAGCTTTCCTTTTCCCAGTCAAAACAAAGAAACCATTGGACATAGCAGTGAAAGTGGATGAAGATGGGTGTCTTCGTATCCTCATTTCGCTCATCTGATTCAATGAAAATAGTATCAGGAGCAATAAACAGGTCATATCTTTTAAATGCTTCCTATTTTTAATAGATGATGCTCAGGACTTGAATTCATAGTCTTTCAAGTTTGTGTGGTGTTTATAATCTGATTTAAAAACTTAAGTTAAATATTTTCACTGCAACTTTGTATGCCCCAGCCAGGATGAAGGTAAAAGCAGAACATTTCTGTAACACAGACAAGAGTTTTTATCACCTTCTTACAGCGAAGTCACTTTTCTCATCTAAAATGAGAAAATCTGGTTTATAGGAAATGAATTTTTTTACCTTTATGTACCTATATATTTTCTACATAAAACTAGTAAAGTTTGTTTCAGCATCTGCCAGAAGAGTTTTCTGTCACTGATATGCATGGCAAATGTTTTGCTTAGCACAGTAACAAATACAGACTTAGCAGTGGTTATTCTCAGTTTCATTGTTGAGAAGGCTGGGCACTGTGGGCAGCTTCTTTTGTTCTGGAAGGGAAGAAAAGGCTACTTTCTATAAAGGTTATGGAGAAAGGTCAAATGATGGCTTCTAAGAAGGATCCTTGGATTTGACTAATTAAGTATAATCTGTTCCACTTTAGAGACATCCGAGTTGTGTCTGTTATATTCAGAGATGATCAGGCTCAAGTATCTGGGCTTTGGTTTAAGACTGGGAGTCACAGAGGTAACAAAAGGGAGAAGTGAGGTTTGGGAAACTTAAGAGTAGTAGTTTAATTAATAACACTTCTGGATTATTTTTCCCAGATTTTTTGTACTAGTGGTGTAAGCCTGCAGTGTTTGTTTTGTTGTTTGTTTTTTAAATAGATGAGAAAGCTGCTTTTGCTAATAAAACAGAACTGAACAAGAAAATCTAGCTTTTATTTCTTAATTCACTTTCTAATGCTCTATGTTTTGGAAAACTTGTTAGGAATATAAGGTTTACATAAAGAACATAAGGTGCTGTGTAGAGAAATGAAGCTCCTGTACATTGAGAAAATACAGTTATTTCTGTCACTTGTGTGAGTTTCAAATAAGATTGGTGCTAAAGTGTCCTTCGTGTTTCATATGAAATACAGACTTGGAAAGGACAAGTATTTTAGACCCTTGATGGTAGTCTGATTCCCTTTTTCTTCTACCAGTGAAAGAGCTTCAGCAAAAATGTGGACAGTGAGACCACTTCCTTCTCTTGAGGAAGTACGCTTATGACTTGTGTGTTTTCCTCTTACCACAGCCCATGAGAATGATGGCTGCAGGCACCAAGGCATGCGATTGTGAGTGGTGCTGGAAGACAGCCAGAGGACTAGAGACCATAGCATGCGAACCACAAAAAAAAAAAAAAAAAAAAAAAGCTCAGCTGAATTTCACAACAAGCTGATGCAATATATCCAGTTCACCCTCCTTGCTCATATTCTTCCCCTGCATGTGGTGAATGTCATATTGCCTCAACCTTCCTATGATAATGATCTTCACAGTCAAGAACTTTCCTGGGAAAAATATAGAAAGACAATCTGAGGGCTGGTCTCTTGACTGTTCCCTTGCATGCCACCCTGTGGAGCTGGGTCTGAGGGGAAGTTTGGGGAATTCATTGTGCAGCTTTCAAGGCTGATAACAGCAACCTGATTTAACTGCAGCAGAGACTGTAGAATGAGGTGAGGAGGTTAAAGGTAACACTGTCACTAGTAAGGAAGCAAGTATGAGCAAATACCAAACTACTTATTTTCTCCTGTCCTACTCCCTGCTCCCTTTTCAGCCAGTCAGCATTCACTAGAAAGAGACCTTCTTGTGTGTGGCCTGTGAGTTGTTTCACTGCATCCTTAGCCATGGCTTGAACAGATGTGTCCCTGAGGTCACGCTTCTAAGGTCCTGCGGTGTCCACTCCCAAGATCACTTCAGGGCAAACATGAAAGGATCAGCTCTCTCTGAAGTGGGTCGTGCACTCAACTGAGTGATAGATATGAGATGATGCACATTTAAAGGTAATATTTAACAAGATTGAAAAGTCAGTGGCATGTGTCTTGGCTGGATGGCTGATGGCCAGTATGTAACTTGCCTTCTCAGCTCCAGCACCTTTGCTGTCTTCCCGGTTGCAGTGACTTCTTTATCAACTGGGAGACGTTCACTGCAGAATGCTCTGGCAGAGACTCAGGAGGCTCTGTTGTCTCTGTCCTTCCTCACAGTGCTTGGTCACAGAAGAGGGCACTTGAACTATAAAACACCATTAGTGGTAGTGAAAATAGGAAAATACTCCCCAGCCCCTTTGGCTTTACAAGTAGAGGAGAAACCCTGATGTTTTCTCCTCAGGCAAATGACAAAAAAAAAGGAGAAAAGAGGAACTTGAGAAGAAGAAGAGGCATTAACAGGGGGACAAGCATTTCCCTGAATATTTGATTTTTTGGGCTCATCGGTGACAGGGAAGACTTAGCCTCTGCAGCCATCCCTGCTCTCATCACTGACCTTCCATGTTTTCCCCCTTTAGTGGAGTGAGATTTAGATTTATTCTCAAGTTCTCTTCTGGGTTGCATGAGAGAAGACCCTCCCAGCCACCTGCCCAGTTGGGTTGCCATTGCTCTGTCCCATTCCTCTGCCCAAGGATGATTCAGTTCCTTGCTCACACCCATACAGTTCTAGAGGGCAGATCTTATGTTCCTGTTTGGCTCAGAATTATTTGCTCTATTGCGTACAGGACAGTACAGGGAATATCCCCCAGAAGATTTGTTTCTAAAGAGCAAGTTTTAATCAGCATCTGATTTTCCTGCCCCAGGAGTAGCTGAGTTGTATCTTAAGAAGTAATTGTATGTGCTAAGATGTAGCACAGAGTGCTTACTTTGTTTCATTTGTACAATAAAGAGGAATAAATATTGCACAATCAGACAGAGCTGATAAGTTTGAATGTTAACTGAGTCATGGGAGTTCTTTTGTTCAGAAGAAAAGGTTATGATCACTTTGACCGATCTCTGTATTACACAGGTATTTACATTTCCTCTTCAAATTCAATATAGGCTCTTGAACTGCCTCTGCAAAAAACTCCTAATTTTCCAAAGCAGAGTTCACTCTGTTGCTTCACTCATTTGTCTCACTCATGACCGCTTCTTGCTATTAAAGATACGTGCCATGTCCCTAGCCTGCACGCATGCAGTTGCTGCTTCTTGCAACAGACAGCTTCTAGCTCTGTGTGGCTGAGGATCCTTCTTTGGCTGGTTCCCTACTACATCCTTCCCCTTTCCTTTACTAAACTGAGTAGATTTAATTTCCAGAAGCCTTTTGTAGTAAGGCTTTCTTTAAACTTGTTGTCAGTTCACATCACATTTTTATTAGCACTCTGTGGACAGCCACCCACAATTGAACAGCTATTTCAGTTATTATTTCCTAAGCTGGATTTCACGCTGTTGGAACTACATATCTACAGTTTGTCCCTGGATTGAGAAATAGCTGCGATTTGGAAAGGCAGTGCCTTCAGTGCTGGTGGATGTCACAGAATGTGTACTGACTCTGCAAGCACAGGAAAAATATCATCTGCAGATATTTGGCCATAACCACTCAACAAGTTAGAGGAAGAACTCAGCAAAACAAGAGTGTCAGTTCAGTGAGCTGACCACAGGGCCTGAATTTCCTTCCCATATTGCTAGAGTTTCCTAATAAAGCTGAAGCTGATGCTTAGGAAAAATTTCTTCTCTGAAAGGGTGGTCAGGTTGCTGGAATGGGCTGCCAGGGAGGTGGTAGAGTCTCTGGAGGTGTTCAAGAAACATTTGGATGTTGTACTAAAGAACGTGGTTTAGTGGGGAAGTATTATTGGTAAGTGGACAGTTGGACTGGATGATCTTGGAAGTCTGTTCCAATCTTAGTGAATCTGTGATTCTGTAGTCGTCCAGATGCATGGCAGAATGATGTGTTATGGACAAAGGGCTGCATGTTGTCAGCAGTGGCAGGAGAGAAGAGCTTCACCAGTTGAGGAATTGAACTCCAGCCAAACCATACCTTTATCTGGCAAATACTGGGAAGGCTGCTTGCTTTCTATGAAATTATCATCTCCTATCTAAGACTAATATATACTGTATCTTAATGAGCTTTATGAAATGAAAGAACAACACAGCAAAAGTAGAGATGTGTGGAGGGTACTTGGGAAGCTATGAGGGATATTCTGACTGCTGACCTGAAGTTTCATGAAAATGATAAAATAATTTAATATCCATAATATGTTAGAGTGTCCCTGTACTGTCCGTCAGTTTTGGTGTCAAGACTGGTTTTAGGTGATGTGAATTATTGACCACTGCCAACTTATCTTCAACAACTGTCAGGCTCTTGATGCAAGTCTTTGCATCAGGATGCAGTAGAGGGGCAGCAGAAGATTTGGGTTTTTGTAGGCTGTTGCTGCTGGAAACAAAAATGGGCAAGGTCTTTGGCATGCTCTGCACTGGTGTAGCTAATTTGAAGTAATTGATAGCTATGTGGACTAACACCCGCTCAGAGCTATCTTTCATCTTTTCAGTTGTGGATATTGTTGACTTTTTCTATCCTCTCTGTTCCTTATCCTGGAAATAGCATTCTCTCTGTACCTAACCCCAGCTCGTAGCTAGGAATTGCGGGCAGATTCTCATCCAGAGCACTAGAGGGCGGCAATAGTATGTTAAAAATCCATCTTTCCAGACCCAGTCGCTGCTAGCCCCAGCAAGAAGGGCCCTGCTTTCTCCCTTTAGTCCTCTGGGCTGTTGCCTTCTATTTGGCCCTATCTGACATGCCTTTCGCATCAGGATACTCAGTATTTTGATGTTGTACGCTGGGTTCCCTTCTGTTTGAGGCATGGGGTGTCAAACCTATCGGGGATTCTGAATAGAGTACTCATGTGTCAACCTTCGATCCGGAGGGATTGTTGTCTTACTCAATGCCTCTCCTGGTTTTGATATTTCTCAGGTGGAGGCTGCATGTTTTTCAGGTTATCTGGCATTAATGCCCAGAAAGAAGAACTTTGATAGTTTCAGCTTTTTTTGTTTCAAATAGAACAAAGAAAGATATATTTGAGGCTAGCAAGAAAAAGACAGCAAGAATTTAACGTTAGGTGACAGAAAAATGTGTATGTTGTTAGAGTTTCTAAACTGTACATGGGTCTGAGAATAGTTGCAGTAGGTTTTATTAATCTTGCACTTCAGATCACGGTCAGAGCAGGAAAAGTCCTTTGAGTTTCAGTAGACATCTTAACATCTCTACTTGCTGTAGCAAGACTCAGGGGCCAAGGTCATTCCTTTTTCATCTAAGGGCTTGTTTTGTGGTTTGCAGAAATAAATTAGTGAAGCTAGGCAACTTCAAGGCAAAAGACAAGCACCAAGATCTCCTCTTTACAAGTCAGCAAGTCATGGAGTTGTGAGTAGTGATTCCTGCTGCTCCCAGCCTGAAACTCAAATTCAGTGCTTCCAGGAGAAGGTCAAATATTTGCTTAGACTACTCTGACACGCCTCTCATGCAGTGATTTTTCCAGTAATAAGCACATAGTGCTTTACGTGGATGACTACAAGGTCACTGTCATCTCTCATTCCATGGTTATCAGTATAAAAACACTGAGCAATGAGCTTTTCCGGGATTAAAAAAAAAAAAAAATCAGTTGTAAACATTTGGCATTAGAACACCAACCCTGAACAACAACAAAGCCTGAGGCTTTCTGTAGGAGCTACTTATGGCAATTGTTTTAAAGAGCCTTTGATAAATGGCTTTATTGTATTGCCCTCTACCGGAACTACCGAAGATTGCAGACTGATGCTTAACGCGGAGAAAAAACTCGGGCAGGAGAACCGTGAGATGTTGATGACAACAAATACGTTGTTTCACACTGCTTAGCAGAGCCGCAGAACAGAGTGCTTCTGGATTTGGAATCTAAAGAGGAGCTCGGGTTTTTTTCTGTCTTGCTGAAAGGACATTCGTTTCTTTAGAGAAGAATCTGGAGGCAGGAGAGAAGTTATTCCAAAGTTACAAACTTGCCAAGAAAATGGATATTGTGTCCTTGAAAAGAAAAAAGGACACCTTTCTGAGTTACAGAGGCAGATAGGTTCAGAGCTGATGAGAGAACTGTTGCATGAAACTGTGAGGAAAAGGTCTCTTCCTGTGTCTCAGATTATTATTATTATTATTATTTTAAATTATTATGTTTGCATTCAAGAAGAACACTTATCTTTTCCTTACTGAAAGATTTTTATTATTATTATTTATAATCATCCAGCACTTGATTTAGACTGTTTTCCCAATTAAAGGTTTAGGCCACTCAATGCATACTTTGTTGCTGAGAACTAAAAGTAAGAAACAAATCCCATGTAGGTGAATTCCTACATTAAAACAAGCAAGAGATTGAAATGTTTGGTTTATCTTGAATCCACAGT